GGAGCAGCGCCACTGGGAAGAGGAAGGCATTGCGTCTGCGCAGTAGCTGCCCTCCGCTGGGAGGCGGGGCCAACCGGAGCCAAGGGCGGAGCGAGAGGACCACGCTGGCCAGTGAGCTCAGGCTGCTTCACCAGGGGGCGTGGCAGGGCGGGGCGCGACCTGACTTTGGAAAGAGTCTCTCCTTCTATCCGGTGTTGTAAACATTATTTTACAGACCCGCAAGATGGGTCAGCGGGTACAGGGCCAACCAAGCCTGATAGCATTAGCTCGATCCTCGGGAGCCATACGGTCAGAGGCGAGAGCTGACTACTGCAAGTTGTTCTCCCCCGTGTGGTGTGCACACACTCAAAATAAATAAAATGTAATACAGATGACTTATTATTTTAAATGTGTGTGTGGTGCATATATGTGTGAGTGCCTGTGCAGGCTAGAGGCCAGCCTTGGGTGTCTTCGTCAGTCCCTCTCTTATTTTTGAGATGGTCCCACTATGAAGTTCTGTCTGGCCTGGGGTGCCATGTGTACATCAGGCTAGCCCCCAAGTCACAGAGATCTGCCTGCCTCTGCTTCCCCAGTGTTGGGACTAAGGGGGTGCATCACCACACCTGGATCTCCATCTTGTTTTTTGAGACAGGTTCTCTCACTGAACCTGTGTCAGAGTTTGATCAAGGTGACAGGCATCTCCAGAAGCCAAAGTGTTCTTTAACCAGAATAGCTGAACACAGTAGTCTCTCCTTGGAAGAGGGATTTTGTGGATGGCATGGGGCCCTAAGGGTTTTACAGGATGGAATCGGGAAACCTTAGGGGATAAAGGATTCCATCTGCAGGTCAGTTCCCTACAGTTTCAGAGTGGAGATGGATCTCCTCATCAGTCAAGTCAACGTTCCTGTCCACCGGGGGCTTTTAGGTAATTAGCCCTCCAACCTGGAACTCACCAAATAGTCTGCCTGACCAGGGGGCCCCAGGAATCCCCATCTCTGCCCTCCAGCACTGGGATTACAAATACCTGCCCCACCATGCACAGCCCTTTATGTAGACTCTGGGCATCCAAACTCAGTTAGTTCCTTATGCTGTGTGACATGTACTCTACCAACAGAAGCCATTTCCCTGGCCCACAAAAACCAGATTTTATATGGAGGTGAGATCTTTGCAATGAGAGCTAGCAGGCAGCTTTCTACAGTAACTAATAGACCTGGGGCTACTTTTAGAGCATTTTGTCTTTTTTTTTCTGTAAACTACTTAAAGCTGTCATCACTAGCTTTCTGGCGGGGGCCCTTTTGCTCTACCAGTCAACAGGAATGGTGGTGGACAGGCAAGAAGTTCTTTTGATGTTGATAGACCTAGAACTCTAAGCAGTGAACACCAGGGGCCTATAACTCTGTATTTTAGAAGCCAGTGACGTTTAGCTGTCGAGTGCACAGTCTGGGGCTTATTGTTCTGGGCTTTAACCAGCAGAACCCTTGGCACTGTGTCTCCTTCCTCTCTTCAGAGCTCCCCCCATACTGCTGTGCCTTGTTGCTGTCTGTCTGTCTATGGAATTAGTACTTCTTCTAATCAGTGCCTTCTCTCTAACAACCCATCTCAGTGTCTCCTTGCACTGAAGTCACCAGTGTTGCTGTTCTCTGGCCTGGAGTGTCTGAGACCTTGGCTCTTAAGGCTTGAAGGATCTCTGAAGCTTCTCCAGTGACTGGTGCCTATGTTTTTGTTTTTTTTTTTTTTTTTTTTTTTTTTTTTTTTTGAAGATTGGTTATTTAATGTGTATGTATGTGTGCCTGAGTGTAAGTATATTCACCACATGTGTGCAAGAGACTAGAAGAGGGTGTTGGATCCTCTGGAACTGGAGTTGCAGGCATTTGTCAGGGGCCAGATGTGGGTACTGGGAGCCTATTGTGGAATATTAGCTTAAGATATGTTACATTCATTTATGCTGTGGAATATTTGTTTAATGATGCAAAGCTGTGTTGCATTCTTTTATGTTGCTTTTGTTTAACTCTGTGAAGCTGTGTTACTTTGCCTGCCTAAAGCAGCTGATTGGTCTAATAAAGAGCTGAATGGCCAATAGCAAAGCAGGAGAGAGATAGTTGGAGCCATCAGGCTGAGAGAATAAACAGGAGGGGAAATCTAGGATAAAGGAGAAGACCCTGGGGCCCAGCCAGCCATGGAGAAAGCAGGAAAGAAAGAATATAGAATAAAGAAAGGTAAAAGGCCCAGAGGCAAAAATGTAGTAAAATAAATAAATAAATAAAAAACTAAACGACAGGAATGGAACTCAGGTTCTGTGGAAGAGCAGCAAGTGTTCTTCACTGCTAGCCATCTCTCCAGCTCTAGTGTCATGCCCCCCTCTTTAAAAACAGATTTCTTTCTTTAGCCTCAACTGTCTGCTCTTGCTCTACTTCCACAGTAAACACACACACACACACACACACACACACACACACACACACACACACACACACACACACACACACACACACACACACACACACACACACACTGTCTTCTCCAGCAGGCATTTCTCAAGGCTTCCTTAGCCCCTGCATCTGCATGTTTTTTGTTTATGTTGTGCCAAACTGTCTGGGGTGCCACATGGAGGTCAATAGGATCCAACCTTTGTCAAAATGCTTGGTTCCCCATTGGAGGTGTTAAGGCTCTGGATGCATGAGGACGTGGGTCACTAAGGATGGGTCTCTGAAAAAATACACAGCCTGTGCTCTTTGCTTCCTGGTCAGTGTGATGATTGGTCAGTCTGGCAGAATCACCTGGGAGAAAGGTCTCTGAGCTTATCTGTGAGGGGTTGTGCTGGTTAGGCTAACTGACATGGAAAACCTGTCTTCCTTTCCCTCCCTCCCTTCCTTTCTCCCTTCTTTCCTTTTCTTTTTTGCCCTGGCTGGTCTGAATTTGTGTAGACCAGGCCGACCTGGTCTCAAACTCACAGAGATCCACCTGCCTCTGCAAGTGCTGGGACCAAAGGTGAGTGCCACCACACCTGGCCTTCTGGCCTTTCTTTTTTTGTGGGGAGGGGGTCTGAAACAGGGTTTCTCTGTGGCTTTGGAGACTGTCCTGAACTCACTCTGTAGACCAGGCTAGTCTCAAACTCAGAGAGATCCACCTGCCTCTGCTTCCCAAGTGCTGGGATTAAAGGTGTGCGCCTCCAACGCCTGGCTCTTTTCTTCCTTTTCTTTCTTTCTTTCTTCCTTCCTTCCTGTCTTTCTTTCCTTCTTTCTTCCTTTCTTTTTTTCCCCGATTTTTTGTGGGTGTGTGTGTGTGTGTGTGTGTGTGTGTGTGTGTGTGTGTTTTATTGGAATGACTTCCAGGCTGCAGCCCAGCTAACCCAACAATGGCCAGCTGTGAATAAAAAGTCCAAGAATCTAGTAGTTGCTCAGTCCCATGAGACTGGGTGTCTCAGCTGGTCTTCTGTATGTGCTGGAATCCGGAAGAAGTCGGCTCTAATGCCAGTGAAGGAATGGATGTGCTGACAAGCTGAGGACCAGCAGACAGAGATCAAGAGCTTCCTTCGTCTATGTCCTTATATGGACTTCCAGCAGAAGGTGTGGCCCATTTAAAGGTGTGTCTTCCCACCTCAAGGTTCACATCAAACATCCAAACTTTGAAATGGGTGGATTCACCCATTTCAAACCAAGCAGAAAAATCTTTCATAGGTGTGTCGTCCATTTCTGGATTGTAGTTCATTCCAGATACAGTCAAATTGTCAAACAAGAATAGCCTGCACATACACATAATTTACTATAAAATATGTTTTTAAAGTGAGCCTGCAGGCTGGAGACATGGCTCAGAGGTTAAGAGCACTGACTGCTCTTCCAAAGGTCCTGAGTTCAATTCCCAGCAACCACATGATGGCTCACAACAATCTGTAATGACATCTGGTGCCCTCTTCTGGTGTGCAGGCATACATGCAGGCAGAACACTGTATACAAAATAAATAGATTTAAAAAAAAAAAGTGAGCCTGCATCTGCCTTGAAGCAGCATGGACAGGGGAAGAGACCCACCCCCCATCAATGCCTGAGGCAGGTGGAGAGCTGGCCTTGTGGTCACAAGAGTGGGAGAGCTGTCTTTGCCCCCTACCAGCGGCAACACTCGGGAGAGCAGGCCCTGCACCTCACCTGGGCAACACGATACAGCCAACCCTGTTGGCAGAGGTGTGGGTAAACCAGCTTTGAATTTTAAGTGTGGGAGAGCTGTCCCCACTACTAGTTGGTCTTATGGCAGTGCTGGTGTGGGGTTGTGGGTGGGGTGAGATGCCCCCTCCCTACCGCCCTCCCTCATCCCCGAATCCCACTCCTTACAACCTGCAACAGGTTGAGATGACCTTCCCCCTTGCCAGATGCAACACTCAGGAAAATGGGCCATGCTCCTCACCTAGGCAGCATAGCAGAGCTGGCCCAGTTGTTGGAGGTGCAGGTGACCCAGCCCTGATGTTGGGAGCAATACAGTAGAGCTGGCCCAAATGGCTTAGGTGTGGTAGAGCCAGGGCATGAACGCAGGAGAACTGGCCCCACCCCTTGCTCATTATTGCCAAGGGTGATTTAGCCAGGGCAGTGCTGGAGAGCTGACCCTGGTGGTGAGGACAGGGGTGAGGGTGGGGGTGAAAGGGTGTAACCTGGCAGGCTGACCAGCCCTGCATCTGCCCAGGCCCAGAACCAGGGTTATGACTTGCCCGGTCCCAACATCTACCTCATCTATTGAAAGACTTAAAAATTAGCAAAGAAATATAGCCCAGAAACTGACCAAGGCTACTACTATGACTTAGTGCCTGGAATTTACCAGCCACCAGCAATTACTCCCTTACAAGGCCATAAGATAACTGGGTACCAAGAATTCCCAGATGGCCACCCTCCCCGAGGAGCTCATGAAGGAAACAGACTGCCCCATCGGCCAATGTGTCAATCATTAACAATTAAGGGTCCCTGTGAAACAAAGAGATAGCTACCATTAGTTTGCACATACTGAGGTCTGCAGGTTTTACAACTGGTGGGATCAGGAG